GGGGGGGGGGGGGGGGGGGGGGGGGGGGGGGGGGGGGGGGGGGGGGGGGGGGGAATGAGAGCCGTGCACGTTGCAACTCCAGAAATCAAGCAGCAGCGTGGCGATAGTTGAAACACTGAAGGCTCCTTACTGCTGCTTGAATACATTTCTGCGGTTTCCGACCCTGTGGCGACATTCGACGTGGACATATATGAGCCTGCCTGGTTTAAGCCGATTGTCAGCGTTATATCAGAGTCTGTTTATCCCTAAACTGCTGTGAACCGATAAAGCCGATAAAGCCGATAAAGCCGTCAAACCTGCCGGAACGACCTCATTCACCCTTGTACTGACGTTCTCATCTCCGGGCCCTATCTATTTTGTCTACCTGTGTTTGTTCTGCTACTGCAGGAGTTACTTGTAGTCGCGGAGCACTTATGCATGGAGGTAACACATATGCTAAACAGTACGAAGTAGAAGTGTTGATGACCGAGGTAACATATCTGCTAGATCGTACGAAATAGAAGCGTATGTAGACTATTGATGTATTGATGTATTGATGACCAACCAAGGCCAGGAATTAGATATTATGGTGTTCCGTGACTGACACGCTGCCATGACATGGTTTGAAATGATAGGGCCGTCATCCGAGAGGCGAAGCGCAAGGCGGCCACGTTGGAAAACTTTGAGGAGGCCATGGAAAGGACGGGGGGGGGAACGGGGGCACAGCGGAAGAAAACCAAGACGGACGAGGAGGGGGCCGGCGGAGGGCACAACGCCACCAAGTTGCATCGTCTGCTGGACATGTTCAAGGTCAGCGTTGGCGTTCTCGGTTCGTCGTCGTCGTTGTTGTTGTTGTTGTTGGTTTTGTTGATTGCAGAATACAGGTATGTGGTCGGTCTAGATGAAACGTACTTTTTTTTTATTAATGTATCCTTTTTCGACCGGCGGTTGCAGTTGCTGGTCGTTTCGTGTCGTCGGTTACGGCTCTCCATGGACATGTGCATATGTAGGTTGTTCCCCCTGCCCCGCCGTACATTGCTACAATCCTACAGATGATTTTTGAAATGTCGAGGCGGTAGTCGAGGCGGTAGTCGAGGCGGTCCAGTTAGTATTGGGGTATCGTAGTACCCTAACCACGTGTTGCGAGTACTTGCCTGGTCATGTCATACATGCTGGCATCATCCCATGTACGCTGGCGTAATTAATTCCAACAAGCTGGACGCGCGTTTCACACCGTTGTGTGTGCTTGGACCCTTCAGCCAGGGTCATCAAGGACTCATCAAGGACGATCCCGCCTCCACAATCCCGCCATGTTATGTTATGAAGCCCCCCTCCCCCCGCCCCGTCGTGCCATTGGGGTTGGGTTTTCGATGCTTGGAACCGACGTTGTCAAACAAGCCGCCCGCCCCCGGTGTTTGCCATCGAGGTTGGGTTGTCGTCGCCTGACAACGACGTTGTAAAACAAGCCAATTCACTTCGTGAACTCGGCAACCAGGTTACCGTTTTTTTTTTTTGGCGGTAACCATGAATGGTGGTCGAGTAGATCATGTTGTGCGGGGCGGATAACCCTCATTCCGCGCAAGGGGGATGATCGCACCACGTTGTGTTAAAGTGGTTAAGCACCCTCTAGGCAGTTACACAGCGCTTATAAATATATTAAGTCATACGCAGCTGTCATCCGTACGCAAGGAAGTAAGCAC